GATCAGTCTTTTAAATGCTGCAATTGACAACTTTAATTATAAAGTTATTTACTTCTTCATACTTTAGCTTTCTTTTCCCCAACTGAAAATATAGTAGATTTATTCCAGCAGTATATTAATAGCATTGGTAAATAAAAACATCCTAGTCAGCTTTAACATGTGGTATCAACAAGCTTTGAAGGCTCTGTGTTCTCTTTTCTTGTCATAGTAAGACATTCAAACCATTCAAGTGCTGCCATTCAAACCATTCAAACAGACTTTAATGCAGTTTCTCAGATACTTCCCATGATACACACAGTTTGAAATAATAGGGTATGAAAACATGAGACTGTGCTGAAAGCTTGTTCCTTATAAAGACTCCTACCCAGGTTTGTGTGTTTCTTTCTGAAATATAATCATTGCAGCAAAGATAAACACAGTCGGTGAAATTCAGGTCCCACTGAATTTAGTGGGGCTTTATTCCAGCTGTACAGGGAATAGTTGCTTGGAATGAGGGTTACTTATTTCCAGTCACTGAAAGTATTATCATGCCAAAATAGTGAAGGACCACTATTACAACAAAGGTTTAATTTCTTTCTAGTATAATTAGAATCTTTACTCACCATTGATACTTTAATACTGTTAGCTTCCTTTATCCGCTACCTGAATTTCTAGACCTCAGAGGGGTGTTCACTGCTTGTTCAGTAGTTCTTTACTTTTCTGTCTTATTTAAGTGGCTTCTGTGATGCTTGTGCATTTTCTAAGCACATAAAGCTTTTTGAAGTGCAAAACTGAGATTTTAGAAAATGCTATAAGCAGCTCTTAATTCATATAACATGGTGTGTAGTTACCATGTTACCATGTAGTTACCATGTCTTTTGGTGTGTAGTTACCAGCATTTTTGATTGGACTGGCATATGCAGGGAATTCAAACACCTCATGTAATTCAGAGAAATCTGATGTCAGCAGTTACCTTCAGCAAACACACTTTGATTTCTCCAAGCAGTAATATCTGTTTTGCTTGATGCAAAAATACTCTCAAACTCTATTGGCATTTAATTACCTTCTCTCCTTCTTTATCTTTTTACTAATTTACATCTTGCCTCAGCCTTTCCAGTATTCTGTGAGGAATCCTTGCAGGCTTGGTAGTCCCTAGATAGCATTTTTTTTTCCCTGCTTTTCCTTGTATAAATGTTTCAGCACCTTTTCTGCATTCCCTATTGAAAGCAGAGAGTCCTTTTTTTCTCCCTTGCTGCTGTTACTCTAGTGATCCCCTAACTTGATTTAAGTAAAAAATCAATATTGATGGTTCTGAAAGATCCTTTGGTATTATTTTTAATAGTCCCTGAAAGTGATTTGGTCCTGTTTTCTCTAAAAAGAAAATACATATATAGCAGCTGTTTAAACCCTTCCCAGGACTACATTAATGTGCAATGGCAGATTGCCCCCAGGAACATCTGGAATGATAGTGGCCAAGCCCTAGAAATAAGTGAATACCAGGTCCAAAATTGGGTAGTCAGATGCATGCTCAGGACTGGTTGCTGGTGGGCAGGATTGGTCTGCTGAGCTGCACTGCTGCCCCTGGCCGACACTGGTAAGACACTAGTTTTTATGACTCCTCCAAAAATTAAAAGAAACGCAGTTCCTGAGGTTAAGGCACAATGGTAGAATATTGAGTATCTGTCGTCTGTTTTCAAGGCTTACTTAATGTTGACTAGAAGAGGCAGTTTAAAAGCAGATTCATTTCCCTTTGTAAACAAAGATTTGTCAATGTGTGAGAGAATCTGAAAGCTCTAAGGTCCCACTCTAAAAACTCACCAATATCTCAGAAATTTTAGGTTTAACTCTCATCATTTCCACATATATTTTAAAAAATGTCCAGTGTTCCTACAATTCCCTACTAATCCTCTGCCTCCCAAGCCCAACAAATATTGGTCAATTTGATGCAAATTCTTCTTGTGCATCATTAAAAAATGACTTGGTCACAGAGGCTTTCTATGCAAAACAGCGTCTTTCTATGCAAAATGGTATTCAATAGGCTTTTACAGAGCTTTAGGGCATCAGGACAAAGCAGTTTTGCTTGAGAGATTGTCACTCACTTCGTTTATGGCACTAAATTTAACTAACTAGGGAGCTTGCAGTACTATTTTTAGCCCTGTTTTCCGTGAAAACTTGGCATATGCGATCATGCTATAAATCAGTCTCCTCAGTTCAACTCACTGGTCATTTTTGAAAATTAGATCTTGGGTGGTGGAGAGGGACAAAGTTAGTGCCTCAACTGCAAATAAATAAACAAAAGGCCAAACTTAACTTTTTAGCTTGGGTGTTTTTCACTGCAGAGATGCTGATCTACTGGACAGTCAGTGTACGCATCAGTCTGACTGCAGCACGTGTCCAGCTACCAGATGAAAGAAGGAAGGTGGCAAAGAAGGAATGTGGGAGCACCACATTACTGTGGTGATGGGGATTGTGGTGGTGGGGAGTGTGTGTGCAGGAGGTGTGGGGGCCCGTGAAGCAGCTGCCGTGGGGGTGCCATGCAAAGGCAGCTGGGGAACCTGCCCAGGTAGCAGCGCACGTGGTAGCGGGGAGATGGGACACCTGAGAGCTGCGGGATAACTGGGAATATAGCCCTGGAGGCAGCAAGGATAAAAGTTTGTGGAGGGGATGGGGGAACAAAACAGTTTCCTTAATTCTCCTGTTTGGGAAGAAAACTGTTAAAAATCAATTAATCATTGTTAATTAAAAGCTATGGCTGCCGCCCAGGACATCTCAATGTTGCATATAGTGTTTGTTTTAGCACAGCATATGGCTTGCAGGAGGAGATTTTGCTGATTAGCCCTAAAAGTTATAGGAGGTTTATAGTGCCCTCTTCCACAGCTAGACTGAATGACTCAAGACACTGGTGTTATTGTATGAGTGAAAAAGAGCATGATCAGACCATTAGAGTTCTGCCAGTCATTAGCTGCCAGGAGTTGTCTCCATTTACAAGGCAAAATTTGTCCTGAAAAAGACAAATAAACAAAAAATACTTATAAGCTATCTCTTCTCTCTACTTGGTGTGCTTCAGTCATTTCTAAATTTATAAAGTCCAAAGAGACACTGGAAAAAATAAACTGACTGAAACTCTCATTCGTGCCAAAGTCACTGCTCTGCAAACATTCAAAGTGGCTCACCACTAATTGGGAAGCTATTGCTGTATGCTTCGACAGTTTGTTTGCCTAGATGAATAAGGAAAAGGGGATAAAGAGATTTAATTAAGTTACTAAGAAAGGAAATAGTCAAAGCCCAGTAGTTGCATTCAGTTCAGATTTAGTGGAGGCAATAACAGAAAGTCTGGGGCTGACTGAACTTGTAAGAATTGGCTGAGCTCCACTGAATTCATTTTACATCACCAGAAAATCTGGCCTCTGTAGTTCTGATGTCATTAGTGAACATGACTTCTTTGGCTCTGTCTGTCTACACTATACTAAAAAAAAAAAAGACAGATGCAGGTTCTTCTGCCTCTGTTAGAATTTCATGACTGAAGAGAGAAGAAGGAATTAATTGCCAATGTCCCTCACACATTGCCCTTACTTGTTCTAGCCTGTCACCTGGATTATATGAAATAAAGCACAGTTAAGTAAACAGCCAACCTTAGATCATGTGGGACTGGATACATGAAAGGGAACAGAAGGTGCTGAAAGGCTAGCAGTCCTCAGCAGGGCCTGGTAGCATTCAAGGAAAGATTTTGTGTGTTCCTGTGCCTTGTGTGAGAGATGTGTCAGTGCACAAGTCACCCCATTTACCCTCACATCAGGGGAAATATTTACTTTTTTATTCAACTGGAAGGTCAGGGATGAATCTTCAGTTTTATAAACTCAGTTTTACAGCTAAGATTAGTGAATTTCTGCCAAAACTTGTCTCAGAAAAATAAAGCCAGATTCCTTTTTCAAAAGTAGTAAAAGCATTAAAATAGTAATATATTTTAGAAGGAAAAAATCAAGTGCATAATATCTAAAATATATGAGCTCTGCTAGTGCTGGGTTATGTGCATTTTATACTGTACTAGTCACAAAATATAATGTGCTTGAGCAACAATATAGTATGAAAAAAATATCTTAAACATATAGTAAATTTGGCACAATTTCGTTACTCTTTGGTTAAAATGCAAACATGCAGAGTTAGCCAAAATTTAAGCTACTAGGATTCTAAGGATAGTTCAGAGTCCACCTCATGCAGGTACTGAGAAAATACTGAGATTGCGATTGAACAGACAAAAATATTCCAATTCTTCACCAACTCCACTTGGGTCCTCAGTGTCTTTTCTTGTTCTGATTTGTCTTTCCTGTAGCATTTATGTGGCCAGCATTGAATGGTACATGCTGGAGTCTGGGAGCTTTCCAAGTTTTTGGTGCCAAGAAGTGAGCATGAGTGATCATCAATAGTGTCTTGAAAGAACAGTCGTAGGTAACTTTATATACATATATATGTGTGTATATATATATGTATATATATATACATATATATAGATCAAAACACAGGAAAAAGCGTATCAAGCTGAGCAGAGCTCATCAGTGTCCTATTCGTTATCACGTATTCCTCTTCTTCTATTTTCAGTAGTCCAAGGCACCATCGCAGCTGGGGATGAACAGGTGCAGGGAACAATTATCCTATTTCCGGAGCTAATTGTGGGCTTAAATTAGGGAGACATCTTACTGGGGTAAAGAAACTCATCTCCGCTGATTCTTTTCAAAGGAAGAAAATCTTTTCATGTGACCCACCATGACTAATATGTTTATTTATTTATATTAAAGCATTGGTATTTGGTGTAATTCTCATATCTAGCACATTGCAAAGCTTATATAGGAGCCTTGCAGAGGGAGATATCAACACAATCCATTGGGATTAAGATGAACCCTTAGAGTAGCTTTTTGTGATTGAATTTGTAAATGATTCTGTGCCAGAAGTGAATTCTTCCCCCTGTAAAAATCCCAAATCCTATTGGCAGGTGTTCAAAGGAGTTTTCCAATGCAAAATAAATAAATAAATACTCAGGCAAAAATACCTTACTTGAAAAAAATCTAGCTGATCTCTATTGTTCTGAAAGGTCTGCTTAAAACAAGATGCTTTACCTTTTAATATCTATCTGTTTATGCAGGCATGTAGGGAACCTATCAACTAATTGTAATCAAATTTGTAAGTCTACTGACTATTATATAATGCACTATAAATTCCATCATTTTGCAGTTCACAAGTTGTCATGCAGAGCAAGTTAGAAATAAATCCTTCATTCTTAGATTTTCCATGTTTTTCAACAGTTTTATTTCTTTGAAGTGTCTTTGACTTTTATATATATAAAATTCTAAAAATTAAAAAAATCCCAATCTAAATCCCTCAAAAACAAAGCAAAACAAACTCCCCTGTGCTCATAAAATTGCACACTTAAGGGGAGGGAGGAGATATCCAGACTACAAAGCTGTTTTTGTTCCAGCTACCTCAGCTTTATCTAGTTTGATGTTTGTTCTGTGACCATTTGAAATTCAATTTCAGGCAGTTCTGTAAAATATCAACATAGGATGCATCATTAACTCTAAGAGGATGTTTTCCATTGGCATCTGCTATTTCTACCAAATGTCAAGACTTGACATTTGCTGTCATTATCTGGTTTTGGTGTATCACTCATACTGAGATTTTGTTTCTTGTTATTTGATATCGATTTCAACTGAGACCAGCTGTGTTGCTAATAAAATCAACAGGCAAGTATCTGGCATCCAGTTCTTCATGGGTGGTGAAAAAGAAACAACCCAATGTCAAAAAAAAAAAAAAGGAAAGAGGTACTTTTCAATTAGGATGCTTGCCTCTGTCCTCATATTATTCCTCTCAGCACTTCTGTTGATGTGGTATTTCTGACTGCTTCCCTTGGGGAAATTTCCACGGAAATCCCAGCCTCTCAGATGAAATATTCCTTTTTGCTCTCATCCACTGCTTCCTGGAGAGCAGGGTCATTTTTCAAAGCGGCATCGGCACTTTCGGCAAACTCAGTCCCTTTTGCCTCGTTGGTGTGGTAGGTGCCCTTATGCCTGTACATGTATCGGAGCATCACAATCAAGAGGCAAATGAGGACAAATACCACCGCAGCAATCACACCTAGGGAAAGGAACCAGTTTAATGCCTTGTCAGGAATAACACACTCCCTGTATTTTGCAGACAGGCAGCACGACTTGAGCTATTCAATAAGTAAAAGTCCATGGCCTATAAGATGTTCACATGCCGTGAATCTCAGGGTCAAAGCAGATTCCTGAAATGAGTTGCTAATGAGTTGATGCTGCCAAAGCCAAAACTGGGTAAAGATACTGCAGAAAGGCAGGATGACATCTTACAAGGTTTCTTTCAATTAAAGTCTGGATTTAGTCAAATTCATTGAAGCTACAATTTAATTCCAAAGTGAAGAGAAATAAGAGGACATAAAACCTGACACATTTTTGCATCCTTCTGTTAATGTAAACCCAGGAGAGTCTGCAGGTGACCTGTCCCCGTCCCACTGGATACACTCAATTGCAGGAGGAGGAGAGGGCACCAAATATTTCTTAGAAGACCTTCAACAAGTAGCAGGAGCCCTGCCATCTGCTTACAGCACTGCACTGTATTTCCAAGCTGCCATACCATGCTGTGCTCTAATTAAGAAAGCCTAGTTGTAATGAATGTGGAAGTGACACCTGGGAGGAGAAGGGGGTTCTGGGTAGATCTTCTCTGTCTCCCGGCCTAAGCTAATTGGTAGCAATGTGTTGACTGGACACAAATTTTTGCAGGTAACCCAAATGTGCATATGACCAAGCAGTGAATGGCAGCTCTCCTACCGAATGAGAGTAAAGTCAAGCTTTGGGGAAGGTTATGCATCAAACACTGCGTGTCCTCACTTCTCAGGGCCCATTTCCTTCTTTCCTTTTCTGCAGTGGAATGTGGAATTAAAGTAAATACAGCTATCGCTACAAATCCATATTTCAAATATTAAGAGCTGCATCCCCTTTTTTCCCTCATATTAAACAGTTCATTCAGGAATCCTGAATATAAAGGAGGTATTTTGAATTTTAGTTATTCAACTTGTGTGATTTTTTACACCTTTTAGATACAAGGTGCTTAAAAACTTTCCTCTTTGGCTGTGATTCTGTACATGTATATCACATTAAGCTGTCTCTCTAGCCACGTTAACTCCGGGAGCTAGAGGTTAAGGACTAAACCAAACATTAAAGGAATACACAATAAGAGGCACCAGAACAGTCAACACTGGGAAAGAGGAAAACCCTGGGAAAATCCCATATCTGGAGTGTGAAGTTGCTGTGAGGATGCAATAGGTATAAATGCATTTGACTAATTGTAGGCTTCTACCGTACAGAATGTTCCATCACAGGTGGTTACCGCGGGCTCTCTCAATATTCAATGGACCGGAGAGGATGATTCCTCTTTTCCTGGAACTGAACAACTACATCTCGTCAGATGAATTGTTTCCTGGAAATGTGTATTATTCTGTGGTGACAATGAGGAGACTGTAGAGAGGATTTTTCTTCTATTCAAGATGAGGAGCAGGAACGTTTATTTCCAAAGCTTTAGATTTGTCATCATCAGTAAACTGAGTGGGGGTAAAATATTGGCAAGAAAACAAGGACTTGGACTCCTGTTAACCGTTAGTAGGGTTAATAGAAATTATAACTCTATCTTATAAAATATGCCTGTAATGCTATCCCACAGATTTTATGGTGCTTGATTCTGGAAAGTGAAGTTCTGCTAGCAGCAATAAAATTGGTTATATAAAGAACTTGAGGTTTACAATAATAACATAGCTGTTTTGGGGGCTTCATCAATTTTTAGGACCTCACTGGCATCCCTCGACACAAGAGGCTTTAATAGGCTCTAGATGTAGCACAATATTAATAAGCCTAAGGGACTAAGTACAAATCAATTTACCTGCTACTTGCTCATAGAAAGCTGAAATTAAAGTTACGGGAGATGGGACCTGAGGGAAATATAGCAGAACCTCACCAATTTGCACTAATGATTGGTATACCCCCTTGTGAATGACTGAAATTAGTGCGTTAGCATGGAAATGAACAAACACAATAAAAATAAAAAGACAAGGTTCTCTCCATGAACATAGCTTTGCTCATTTATTCTGACAACTGTATTTAGTTTAAATGCATGAGAGAACTTTAATAGAACACCAGGAAATGCACTGTGGTGTATTCTGTAAAAATAAAGGGCCAGCTGGTGTCAGCTAGCATGGTTCAAAGAAAAAGAAGTTTTGCAATAGATGACAATGTTGGCCTAGTGGATGATGAGGAATACAAGGTTGACTTCAGATTTGGGCCCTTGGATATTTTGCCCTAAAAGGAGGAATAACTAGCCGTGGTGCTGCTCACTATACGGTTTATGCTCATTATCTTGTTATCTTGCCAGTGGCCCTTCTGGGGAGAGGTTTCCCACTGGACTAATTGTGCTGCTCCTGTTGTCTTGTCAGCAAAGTAGGAGTTTGCTAACATACAAGCAACCAACCTGCTGTTTTAATTCTAATGGTGCATCTAAGTGTGGTCTGCTGCTTACCTCCAATAACAGCCACATCTGCTCCAACTGAAGGGCCCTCAATATCTCCAGCTGTAAACAGATCAGAACATACAGGAGTTAATTGAACAAAAAGGAGATGGATCATATGCAGCAGTAGCGACTGTACTGGTGGTACTGTATTATTTTGACCTCTGAAACTCAGAACTTAAACAAGATCTCTCGTTAGCAAAAGGCATTTATAAAATATCTCATTAGAACTGACTGTACTGTAGCAGTTTTCTGTCACCATAACATTGGAAAATAAATAGCTAGCACATTATGCAAACTATCTTGGCCCTCAGGGAAACACCTACTGTTTATTATGAGCACTTACCTGTAACATCCTCCAGTGAATGATTAAATTAAGAGTGTTTGGGTAGTGTGATTATTCTCCGAAAGACAGTTTTGGGGAAAAAAATACTAATGCCCATTTATATTCCTGTGTATGGCTCTTCAGAGTACTTTGGATCCTGATTTGATGCAAATTAATCTGGCTCCACTGATTTCAATTAGTATTTATTTATCTGCAATATCCTTCTTTTAATCTTAGTATTTATTTTCTTTCAAACCCACATTTGGAATCAAGACAAGCCTGTTATGTGTGTGGTGTAAAATACAGTCCTTGCTTAGAGCAAGTCTGGATTTGCCCCTAATAAGTCAGATAATATTCTCAACTGGATTAGAAAATAACTTTCCATTTTGAAATCAAAAGAAACCTACTTGACCAAGAGTTTGTAAGAGATAAGAAATTGGTCTGAAAAAAATATGACTGCTGAAAAAGTAGTTAGAATAGAAATTATATTTTGACATTAATTATAGCACTTAAAATATCAAAAAAAAAGAATATCCAGAACACTTTATAGGTAGGGAAAAAAAAAAAAAAAAACACTGACAACAATGAGGAGTTTTCTATTTTCTAAAATAGACCTAAGTGAAAGAGTAAATTTTTCTAGGCCAACTTTCTTTACTAGCTTCTCTGCAGTTTAACAAGGTACAAATTCTGATCTGGTTTCCAGCTAATGCCACTGGCATCAGCCCACTTGCTCCTGAATTATGTGGATGTCTGAGAAAGTGAAGAAGTCTTGAAGTTTTTCATGCTCGGTTTATGAGAGAAGACTCTCCTCACCTTGTTTATTATTATGCTGTTTATATAATTGTAAGACTTCCTGGTATCTTAACAAGGCACATAGTTTTACATGAGTGTTTTTTTTTCTTTTTTTCTGTTGAAATATAGTGGATAGAAAGAATTCTGGAAAAGGTAAAAGGCTAATTCCAAATCCTTCCATAAATTCTACTGTGGCACCATGGCTGATATCTGGCTCTTCGGCTACTAAATGAGTGAGGGACAGTGCAAGGGCAAGAGACTCTCAGAAGTTTCTCCTTACTCATGGCTGGTCTCTTATATCAAACTGTAGTAACCTGATATTCAAAGGACCTCTCGCTTCCCAGTCATGGGTGATACTTTCACTGAAGAGCAGATTTTTTCCCCTCTTCCCTAGAGATCCTTCCTACATCTTCTTCCAGCTATGCACTGATGGATAGGTTGAGCACGCCCTATGCAATTTAAAAAATCTAATTATGTCTAGGTCCATTCAAAACCCATGTGCCTCAGAAGACATTAATTCCTTCAAGGTCAAATTGTTCTGTATTTCTTCATACACCAAATATACACTGCATGCCAAAAAAAAAAAAAAAAAGGCTTCTATACAGCAATCAAAAACTTAAAGGTGTGAATTCTAAAGTGCTTCCCTAGCCACACAGCTTGCTTCCAAATATTAATTCCAGATCAAATCATTGGCCCTTTAATTATAAAAAGGTATGTGAGTATCTCTCTACTCTTTTCAGTCCCTCCCAGGTGCCTTTTGGATTCAGATAACAAGCAGGTGCTTTATCTCTAGCACTTGCCACAGAAATGCTTTTGATAGTGCATTACAGTATCATCACTTTGAAGAAAAGTTTAATTTCAATACTGTACTTTCTAAGTTTTCAAAGGAATGATGTCCCAGTCTTGAACTATTGTGCAGTTGGTGCTGCCCTATTAAGCTGATAATGTTCAGCTTAATTCAGCAACCAGTTAGAACCATAATGTGGCATCAACCACCACAATTCCTGTCTTACTGCATGTGGGAGAGCCCAACTTCTGTTTTGCATCCATGTTTTGCTACAGAACAGGCCTGTTATCTCTCCGTCTGAGGGTTGTTTCCTTTTGTTGTGTCCTCTGGAGGCAACTAGTAAGGATCTAGAATTCAGCAGGGAGTTAGAAACTGGAGTTTCCAGCTCTGCTCCTGCGATACTCCTTGCACACACAAGGGTATGTCAAGACCAAGTTCAGTAAATTTGTAGGGTGTGGAGAAAATGACCTAAGAAGTGACTGAAGCACTGAAGTGAATTCACTGACTGAAGTGGATATGGGTAGGAGTTAACAGCCACCGTCCCGACAGGAACATGTTTGGCCAAGAACCCCAGCATCTAGTCTCAGAACTTCAGCTGAGCCTGTATGAGACATACACTGCATTACTGCAAGAGAGAGTTGTAGCATTCCCAGATAGAAGAAGGCAGCCATTATACTGGAGAAATTTTAGTTGAGGAATAACTCTATGTTTTGACCCTTTTATACCTTCTTCATTCTGTTCATCTTAGTGTGTGGAGTACTCAAAGAACTGTGTTTCATTAATTGTTATTGCACCTGTTTTGACTGTTTTCCTTTGTTTCAAGACTGTTTTTTGTATTAATGGCTGCTAATTTTTCCTGGCAAAACTTCCCCATACTGTTAAATTGGCCCTTGTACAAAGGCACAATCGGGTCCTGAATGTGTTTAGGCAGTGTTGTTATTTAGTGCCATTGGTTACTATGACGCATAGAAATCAAAAGATTGTGGCAACACTCTTGTTTTTCATAAAATCCCTGGCCATCCAAAGCGATCAGCTATAACAAGAGCATAACATACAAATCAAATCACTTGTCATTGAAAGTTATGTTTCTGAAAGCTACAATTAAGGGGGAAAGAAAAAAGCGCCTTTGTGTCATGACCTGAAATTCATCACATTCTGGCTTTGCCTATTAATTTACAGATAAGGATTTTTGCAATGGAATAACAATTGCTACCTGTCTCATTCTCATCAATCAAACAGAGCAGAGAAGATATTAGTCTCTGAAAGTCCCAGGAATGTTCCTGACTCTTAAATACTGCAAGCAAATCTCTTGCATAGTTTTTCAAAAGTGAAAAGGAAGCACAACGAGCCTCCATGTTAATGTAGTAAGTGGGGAAGTTCTTCCTGCTGAATTTTCCAGTAAATTTTGTTCAGCTGTCTTCTGCAGCCATGATTTTCCAATAAATCACTTTGATTTTTTTATAGTTTTTCAAACTGATCCCAATCCATTCTGAGGAACACCTGTTTGAAGAGGGAAGATCCATCAGCGAAATATTTATTTGCAGTTCAGAGATTTTGTTTTGCTATACACTTCCTATGTGAATTGTGATGGTTTCACTTGTTTGAATTTCAGATGTAAACTACTGAAACTCATAAGTGCTGGCTTTAAAATAACTAATATTGAACTTTTATAATTTGACATTTTTTTCAGTCTTCAGATGCATTCAAGTCTTACTTTCCAGCTATTCTTTACTGTACCAAAGAGAAAAATGTGAATTATAAACAAAAAATGAGGTTTTGGCATGATATTCTAACTCTGGGAAACAGATTTTATGACTCTAAGAAACACATCTTTAAGGAAAATGTGAAGTATTATGAGCATCTTCATAAAGCAGCTAGACTTATCTGTGATCTGCTGCAGAAGCATAACTATTTTAAGACATCTAAGTTCATGAACCATCCGGCTTATATGATGGTGGGAAGGGACATGTTAATTTTGGGGATATGTAGGTAGTCTTTCCCACCTAGCATAGGAAACTCAGATTTATGTTCCTCATCTTCGCAGAAAACAGTATCTCAGTTTGCTTCTGAGGCTACTGTCAGTGAGACAAGATATATTTACAAAAAGGCTCAAGCTTGACCTCCCAATAGCTTCCAGCACAAATCCACTACTTGTACCCATAGTAGTTTCTCAGTCAACAGCATAATTAGTAATGTAACTACCTACTGGTTCACTTGTTTGCTATTCGATTTGCCTATGGAAGATACAAAAGGAAAACTTTGCCTTCCAGAGCTCACTATTTGAAACATTTGATCCCCCAAGATAGATCTAACCTATTTGTCTGAACTACCAGATCTCGGCTGTGGACACCAACAGGGAGAGCCAAATAGGATAATATATATCTTACCTCAAGACTTCTCAGTTTATTGCTCTCATTTCTTAAGATAAAGCCCCCAATTAAAGTTGGAAAAGTGTTTGCTGATACAATGTTGAAAATAGACATAAAAGATAGGGCTTACAGTTTATATAATCATCAATCTCTTGCAGCTGTGGGTGATACTGCTGTTGTGGAGTGGGTGAGTCAAGCAGAATGAGCATATAGATAACTACGTGTGATAAGCAGCTTTTACTACATATTTTGCAATCCACTCAACACCAGTCAGGCAGCTCTGCTCCTGCTCCTGCCTTTCAGGATATTCCTACCCACAAGCTTGCACTTTCCATTCATAGCAACCTAACCCTTATCTTGATGCTCCATTGCTGCCTGCTTGTGGTTATGATCTCAGAAGCCTTGGCTGCTAAACTGAATTCAAGTGCATTTTTAAGTGCTTTCTTGGGCAACCCATTTCCCCTCTTCATATGTCTGTTCATTGCATAATGCTTGAACTTTGTGGATTACACATCCGCATGATGACCTGGGCTCTTTAGAGCAGTCTTTTTGTTATTAGGATTTTTCTAGGCGTTCAAACTAGGAAACACACTGCAAGGTTTCATCTTTAAACAGCTCACCTTATAAAAAAAATGCTATTGGTGGCACTTCTCCAGGTGAGGAACTAACCAACCTGAGTTAGGTGTCCACTAACACTCTGGCAGTCACTACCAATGCTGGCTACTGTGGTGTGTAAGCAGTCCTCAGGCTGCAAAGTGTCCCTCGAATGCATCAACTGCACCTCTTACCA